TATTTTTAACACTAACGCTATTGCAAGTTTTCAACAGTAACACCGTTACCTGCTTTCAACAGTAACGCCGACGCCTGCTTTTAACAGTAACGCCGTCACCTGCTTTTAACAATAACGCCGCCACCTGTTTTAAACAGTAACGCTGTTACTTTAAACAGTAACGCTGTTACCTGTTTCTAACCGTAACGCTGTTACCTGTTTCTAACAGTAACGATGTAACCTGTTTCTAACAGTAACACTGTTACCTGTTTCTAACAGGCTAGTAGCTGTTTTAAACAATGATCAGTTTCCAATAACTCTATTCTATCTTTCGGGTTAATAATTCAGCTAAGTTGGATTTTAATTTATATTTATTACCATAGTCAATCAAATCAATAAAAAGAGAGGATAAAAATTACTAATAATATTAATAATTAAAATAAATTTAATTAAATACTATAAATATCAATAAAAATATGAAATATCATTAATACAGATAGATTAATAAAAGATTTACCGTGTAGAAATGAGTTGTCAATATAAATCATTAATACAGACAGATTAATAAAAGATTTACCGTGTAGAAATAAGTTGTCAATATAAATATATGTGCAATATCTACATGTTAGTATATTCACTGGAATCAAACCTTCCTCAAAAACCTATACCTACCCCTCTAAAAAATTTTATCACCCTTGGCCAATATTTCCCCATTATTTTACAATTTATAAAAGAAATCCCTTCATAATTATCAATACTCTACTACAAACTATCAAATATCTATAATATATATAAAAGCCTTGTCACAAAAATAGCGTTACGCTCTCATGTCACACTTTTCATGTCCTACTTTATAATATTTATTCAAAAAATCGTTAATTTTGAAAAATGCCTGTGTGGCTCAAACGGGTAAGAACTTCGCTTACAAATCTAGATGGATTATTGGACTTGGGTTCGAATCCCGGCAAATTTTTTTTTTCTTAATCTGATAAAATTAATCAAATAGATACGATTCAAAGAGTACGAGATTTATTTAAATGCTTTTTTAAATTTAAAATTTAAACCATTATATGGGGAATCAGAATTTTCTCTTTTATTTGATGAGGGATGAATCAGAAATTTCCTATCTTATGAGGTGTTATTTAAAAATTTATATTTATTTAGGGTTATTCTAATATTTTTATATAATATGTTAATAAAGTATATATTTAGTAATTTTAATTTATGTGTACAATTAAAAAGTCTTTTAAAATAATTCATTTGTATTTTATAATCTAAAAATTTATTCTTGCAGATGAGAGTTTTATGTTAAAACCCTTAAGAAGGATCCATTCCACATTGAATTTTATACGACTTTATATCTCTTAATTGGTAATTTTTATGCATAAGTAAATATTTGCATCTCTCTTATCTTTTCTGAAATTGGCCTTTCTACATGCATTCCATAGTTTTGTTTATTTTTTCATAACTTCATAATTTAATTGTAAAATATATATTTTTCATAACTTATTATAACATTTTTGATTAAATGTATAACTTTTTTGTTTAACTTATATATAATTTGACTATGATTAAAGTTAACATTCTATTATATGTTAACTTATAATATCTTTTTATTTTTTCTATTGTAATTTAATAACAATGTCTTAAATTTAAATTTATATTTTGTAACTAAGTAATAAATCATTTGGAAGGGTGGTGGTTTGTTTAAAATTTAAATTAGAATGAACATATTTTTAGCATGGTACTTTAATATGTATTCATGATTTTCATATAAATACCAGGCAGGAGTTAATCAGTAGAATGATCACCACCAACTCAGCTTGGATTTTAAGGCCATTGGCTTGTACACGCTATTTAGGTTATAATTTATTGTATTGTAAATAACATTATATATAGTTAAATTTATTCAAAATCAATTTCCCTGTTAATACTTGTGGTGTGGATAAAAAAAAAGGTTAATCATTATTTTACATTGTTCGTGTTTGTACAATATTTTTCCCACTTTAAATGAATTAATATATTTAAAAATTAATTATAAAATAAATATTTTAGGAGAAACCGATTTTTCTGGACTGGATTCAAGAGGTAGCTGATAAATTAGCCCTAGATTATTATGTTTAACTAGCTAGTGTAAATTTCAGCGTAGATAGAGCTATTTCCCTATCACCCCTGTAAATCCTTGTACCACAAGAGCTTAAAGCAGATCATTTATTTCTTTACGTCATTATTGGTAAAAAGAAAAAAGCCCCCTCTGACGAAGCTCATAATCTTATAATTCAAAGGAATATAGGTGTCATCTAACCAATAATGCATATTACAATAATATATTTTTTTAAATTTTAATATTAGATTAATATATTTTTAAATATCATGTAGACAGAAATTAATAACCAAATAAAAAAAAATTTGTTTCACATTTTATTTAGATATTCTATTTGTTTTCCAATTTTAAACAACATGAAATGAAATGAATTAAAATTAATATTTAAAATGTTGTAGTTTAGTTATTTTTCAAAATTAAAATTAATATCTTCTTAAGAATTTATATTTAAGAACCCTGTTAAACAAATACATATGAGGAAACTCTCCAGAAAAGGAACTTTGAGAAAAATAACGTATGGAAACGGTTAAAACTTTTTCGAAATAGCTTAGGAAGGTTATAAAACTTGGAACATTATAAAAATAGAGAGGTTATATACGTAGATTATACTCGTGCAATTATATTACATTAAAAAGTTGTTGTTTTTATGTATTCTCACTCGATGATGTCCGTGAAATATCACTGTATACAAAAAATTATTATTTTTCAAATTTCAGGTGTCTCAGTGGTTACAGATCTGTATATATGTAAATAAAGCTGTCTGATATTGTTCTAACCCAGTATTTAATTAGAAATATAGGACTAAGGACACCATAGTCAATCTTGGAACAAGGAATGGAACAATTTACCTCATATTTTTCTTAATAAGGATGACGTAAACTTTAAAGAGAGTATGGGCTTAAATATATTCATATTCGAGTGGTAGTGGGTTAATATCAAAACAGAGCAGCGATTGTATCCAAAAATCAAAGCGATAGTCATGCATAGGTATAAAAAATCTCTCTATTTTTTTTATACCTTTACTTAAATTATTTGGAAATATAAGAGTATTCGGCCTAGGTATTTTTTAGACCCGGCCCGGGTATATTTTAAAAGTTAGGGCCGGGACGGGCTTGCAGGTATCTGACATAAATATTTAACTAACTAACTTTGCTGAGTGGTAAATTAATCATATAGGTCATGACTCATTACTTTATAAATATCTTAGCGGACGCCAGCCTACCATAAATACTTTAAAATATATAACCACAGTAGCTCCCTTTAACGATAGTTTTAAAAAAGGGATTACATTCAATTGTTTAAAAGCCTTACTCTAGTCTGTGATTACACTTGTATTTTCTAAAGTCGAACAGTTAACACTTTGCCCTGGCCTATTACAAAACTAAAATGTCAAATACTTCGATTTTTAAAATTTTTATTATTCCCATATTTACTAACCCATTAATTCTTATAATTAATATATCGATATTAACAAACTCAGTAAAGTTTGTAATATGTTTCAAGATAGGTAATCTCTTCTCTTCTCTTCTCTTCTCTTCTCTTCTCTTCTCTTCTCTTCTCTTCTCTTCTCTTCTCTTCTCTTCTCTTCTCTTCTCTTCTCTTCTCTCTCTTCTCTTCTCTTCTCTTCTCTTCTCTTCTCTTCTCTTCTCTTCTCTTCTCTTCTCTTCTGTCAATTAACAATAGAGCAAATTTTAGCCGCAATGATCAACATAGCTATGATATAATTTTTGAATCTGAACTAACAAAGATTCTTCTGAATGTAATCTATTAACAGCATTTAGATTTTTTAAAAGTAAACCATGCTTCTTCCGCCAATTCATTTTGTAAATTTTTTTTAAATATTTGGACAGCTTTTATAATTTTCATTTAAAAAATATCTTTTTATAGGTTCATGATGTTTTAAAATTCTATCAATGGCGGGCACTAGTGATAATCATCTGATAGGGATATGGTGTACTAACTCGTACCATTTCATATCATGCCTTATACTTGAAATTTGCTTAAATAGGAATTAATTAATAATTGTTTCTTCATAATTCAAAAATATTGAGGAGTTATGCAATGCTATGTTTTAAATAACTGGTTATAATTATTATAAATTGCTCTTGCTCAAAGTGAACCAAATAAAATAATTATCTTATAAAAATAAATTAGGTATAATTTATAATTATGTTATGTAATGCTATGTTTATTATGATTATAAATTGCTCTTGCTCAAAGTGAACCAAATAAAATAATTATCTTATAAATAAATTAGATATAATTTATAATTATGTTTTGTTATAAAATGAATATAATGATAATTTAATTACTAGAAAAGAGATTCAAACTCAAGGAAATATAGTCCAGTCCAGATGAAATTTATAAAATTCTATTCTAAATTAAGCAATATATATTGATATTCATTTTTAGGTTTTATAAATCGATTAAAATTTTTTATAATATATAATATTTATATAAAAATTAATTGATTGATTTAAAAAGCTATATTATAGACTTGATCATGATATTATGCGCCTAGCACTATTCATTGCTTATAGAGGATACCAGAGCTAATCGCCACCAACAAAGGATTTTATTTTAAAACCAGTAATTAAAAATTTTCTAAAATAGAATTCTATAATATACATATTTATGAATAAAAATAATTTAATATATTTAGCTATTTAAATTTTTATCTTTTATTATATGTTTTTGATGTAAAAATTACAATATTTTCACCTAATATTATTAGGTTGTATCAAAAAATTAATAGTTAAAACATGACAAAATGAACAATATATGAAAGTTAAATATCTATTTTATATTTGGGAAAGTTTAAGATTGATAATTTAATTATATGCTAGGATTATATTAGTAATAAGACCACCATTGAGATTAGTAGAATCGTGACTAGACAGCGCCATCAATCAATCAATTTATTTTTATAATATGGTACGAAAAATTCAAAACAAGAAAGATATTTGTAAGCATTCTGAATCAAGTTTTATATTGAAACAATGTAAGGATGCAAATAATATACAAACCTCACCACAAGTAGTATAACATGAAATTGGAACTATATAATAATTTAGGATTCTGAAATGCCAACTACAGAGGATCTTTTAAATAAAATAATAAATCCTGTTAATTGCTTGAAAAAAGATATTGGTTATAATGATATTTTAAAAGTTAAATATTTATTATATAAATATATATACTATTAATTAAATAATAGTTAGACAATTCTCTAGACAAGGAAAATGTCAATCCTTGTAATTCAAAAAGGAAAAATTTTGAAACACCGAAATCTAAAAAATATGAAATTGAAAAGATTAAGATATTTAGAGGTAAATATTTATTATATAAAATAATAATTTATTTTTAAAATAGATTTATTGAAAAAAATTTTTCATGATGATGATAAGCATTATATTATGGGATTTTTTAAATCCTTCCAGTATCAATTTAATTCCATGACAAATAAGCAAGCATTTGATTTCAAGATAAAATTTACTGAAATTTTAGCCACATATATATAATTTTTTATACATATTTTATATGTTTTTATAATAAATTTATAATAAAAATTATTAGTTTAATAGTTTGTAATTTTATTTAAGATTTATTATAAAATATTTTAAGAATAATGTGAATTAAGTCATTTTACAGTCTTCTTTCTTAAATTAAATACAAATAACTCACTTATACAATATAATCAAAATAACATTTTTTATTGAATATTTATAAATAAATGCTTTAACTTTGACAAATTTATCTAAATAATAAAACATTCATAGGAAATAATAAATTAAGTAACACAATATACAATTAAGATGGGAATTAGTTAATAAGATAATGGTAATAAAAAATAGATATATAAAAATTATACATATATAGCCTAACATAATACTAGATTAATATTCATTGTTTACATTTGAGTTAAATGTATCTCTAATATTATTAGAGGTTTCGGTGCATTGCTGGAACTGAGATTGAGCAAAATTTGGAATAGGGTATTAATCATAATTAATTGGTGTAATTATTACATTTTATTAGATATGAACATTTTAGTATATAAATTTTAGCCTGATAATATGATCAATTATTTAAAATGAATTATATCTATCAAACAAATATTTATATATATATCTATTATAATTGACAATATAATATGATTCAAATTAATATATTTTATTGGATATGAACATTTCAGTTATCACGATATAATTTTGGCCTGATAATAAGATCAAATGATGTTATATATTTAAATATAGGATTAGGTAAATTTTTAGTAAATTTATTATTTATTTTATTAGATATACCTACAACAAATTTTTTAAGATATTATAAAAAATATAAAATGACTGACAATATGCCCAAGATGGGCCAAGATAATAAACAAAAAATTTTTGATTATGATGAAGAAAATAAAATTGTTGAATATCTTATTTCATATAGGAAAACGTTTTATGGTTTATCTGTTAAAAAGGTATTAAAAAATTATCATTATTTAAAGCTATTCAATTCAACAAAAGAATACCCAAATCATGCATAATTAATAAAATGGCCTGTGAAGAATGGTTTCTTCATTTATGAGAAGAAATCCAAGATGTAAGATCTCCTGATGCTACTAATTTATCTCAAGCTGCTGGTTTAATCAATAGGCTGTTCTATATTTTTTTAATTTATAGGCAATACTAGATCAATATGAATCAAGACCTATATCCATTTATAATATGGATAAAACAGGCCTGACAACTGTGTAAAACCTATCAAAAATTGTTGCGCAGAAGGATCAGAAACAAGTCGGAGTCATCACTTCTGCAGAGCGAGGCACTTTAGAAATAATGGTGCTCGCTGTTAACGCTTTAGGGAATTTATTCCCACAATGTTTATTTTTCCACGTAAAGTATTTTATAATTATTTTATTAGAGACGGTTTTCAAGGATGTATTGGTACATCAGATCTGGGTGTATGCAAGAGGATGAATTTATTACGTTTTTTTAAATCTGTTTCTAATACCAGATGCAGCCAGAAATATCAATTTTTGCTAATTTTGGATAATCACATATCCTATCAATCTTATTATTCAATATTATATAGATAATGATATAATACTTTTATCTCTTCCTCCACACTGATCTCATAAATTGCAACCCTTAGACAGGACAGTATATGGGCCTTTAAATTCTTTTATAATAATGGGAAAGATACGTGGACGTGACACCGTGGGATCTCCTTTTCCCTTTATGATATTTCCTCTATTATAAATGATATTTTACCTTTGTCAGTCTCCTCAAAAAATATTCAACAAGGATTTGAATCGTGTGGAATATACCCCTATAAAAAAACTATCTGTTGGGAGGAGGATTTTATTCCTTCATCAAATCATGATAGGTCGATTATATTAGGAGAAAGTCCTGGACATCTTCCAAATTCCAATTATGTCTATTCCTAGCTCATCAATTAATTATATTCCCAACACTTTTCTCTCAATGATATTCCTATCCCTTCAAAGATAATCTCCCAGGTCCATCATTTATCCCGGTCCCAATCTCATCTCGTAATTCTCATTAAAGGAACAAGAAAAAAAATGTTGAGATCTACCTCCCATTCAAGAGAGAGAACTTCTATTAAAAGAGAAGAATAAAAAATAAAAAAAAACATTGTTAAAAAATTAATAAAACATGTGTGTATTATATTTAAATAAGATTATAAAAATTTTAATAATTTTGAAGATTGGTATCAATGTAGAGTATGTAAAGGTTTAGCGCATGGTTCCTGCACTAAAATAGATTCTTATTTTATTTGTTATAATTGTAAATTGAATATTATATAAATAAAGCATAGTTATATATTAAAATCTAAAAAATAATTTTTTTTGTCTCATAAGAAGCCTAATATAACACTGGATTCGACGATGATCCGACTAACCAGGGGTTCGGAGCTATTAGGTTCAAGAAAAATTTATTAAATATTTAAAAAATATAACAGTATATATTTATAGGTAGATATTTAAGGTATCAATTGGTATTTTGTAAAATCTTATACAGTCTATTTTCGGGTTAGGATAATTTTGACAAAAATCGCGACTAGCCATAGACTCCCCTACAATAGGGCAACTCTTGGTTCTCTCAAAAACTCATCAAACTGCGAAATAATTATGAGATACAATTATCCCTTTTTTGGGCAGGCCGTATGCATACAAGAAACAAATTAACTTACACTCATGGGAAATAAGAAGATAAATACAAAAGTCTACGCCTGATTAAATAAAAGTATTATTGGGGGTTTTGGCTAGGTTAATTTTACTTACTTGTATTCACATTTTGAAGATAATCAACCATATCTGAAGATCCATAATCCATTCACCGGAAGAAACCGAACCCATTCAGGTTTTAAAATTTTCTGATAAAATTTTTTTATTCATTTATATATATTCTTTTCTATAGATAATTGAAAAAAAATCCTGGATATAAAACCCCTCCTTAAAAATTTCAAATAAAAATAGTATATATTTTTTTATCAAATTTGACGCTTAAAAGTAACACTTTTTGAAATTCTCACATATAACATAGGATTTCTTCCACGAGATCTTCTTCAAATTAAAAATCGAAGAGTGGTGGGGAGTTATTAGGCATGCTTTATCATAATTATATGGGGCTTAGTAAGGTAAGAGGGTGGAGGGGGTATACGATTCTACCCCAATTTTCTCCCAAATTTCAAACTGCCCCCTCTCACCCCCTCAAAAAATTTTTTTAAATTTTTTTTGTTCCTGAATATTTTATATATTTTTTTATAAATTTTTTAAAATTAGGAATGTAGTGGGAGAGAAATAATTGTTCAAACCACTATCAGTTTAGAAAAGAACTATTTCATGTCTGCTGAATAACTAATAGGGGCAACGCAACTCATATTGAAATGAGAAAGGAGAATGAAAATGTAGTTAAATTGGTGGAAGAATGAAAGTGATCAAAATGCCAAGATTCAGAATAAGGAAAATGAACTTGAGCTTGCAAAACAAAATTGATAGGTGAGAATTTTAAGTTATTCTTATTGCAAATATTTTACAACTGATTTGAATCAGGTATCACCAATTAAATATCTAGTGGTATTTTTGTGGCATGATGGACTACCTAGCATTTGTTTTATGGGCAATGCAATTGCATTCCTGCTATCAGTTACTCCGAGCGATGGTAAGAATATTCTTGATTATTTCGACAAAAATTATACCAATGGAGTCTCAAGGGAGTGTGCAAGAAGCAATTCTCAGTCACAGAATGTCGAATTCGATTTCCTCCGGAAAATTGGAATATGAATCAGGGCACTCTATCCGACGAAGAACGCAAAAATAAAATCTACTGAAGAATGGAATCATCGTTTTTCTCTTTAGGTTGGAAATAAATACCCATCAACCTTGGTATTGATTAAAAAAAATGCGAGGTGGTTACTGATGAAACCAAACTTGAACGATGGCTTGTAAGTAGTTGGACGCCGTAGACAAATTCTCAGGGTTATAATACCCAAATTCGGTTAAAGAAACTTCGAGGAATAGAATACGAAGTCTTCCATATTTAAAAGAGCAAGTTTTTTCAATATTCGTTCAACCCATTTAATTATTATTCTAAATTAAATTTGCATATACCTAGACCTGTGCGCCGGCCGGCCGCCGACCTGGTTGCGCCCGCCGCCGATTTTTATATCGGCGGCGCACGGCCGGCGCAGAAATTTTCTTCATATTTCATACATTTATTCTAATAATTGGTCAGCATCACTGTTGTAATTTTTTAATGTCAATCAGGATTTTCTACTATTTTAAAATCACAATTATATTGACGTCATTATAGAATTCAATCAATCAAAAATCTAAAATTCCAAAAGTTACCATAATTTTACATATTTTTAAAATGGATGCATCTACATTTAATAATTCTATAAATAATTTTAGCATCCTAACTCTGGATAATAAAAAATTCATAGTCTGGAAATTTTTTGCAAAAGAATTAGAGAAATTATTACTGCTCTAAGATATAAAACTGCAGAGGTTGAATTTGAATTCGAGGTAGATCAAAAAAATGTCTAAGTACAATAGATTTAACATCAGATATGTTAGATCTTGACAGCATTGATCAATACCCGGATACCCGTTTTCAAATTGGCAATTCCAATGATAACAATAACAATAATTCCACGCATATGAAAACCATAAAATTAAATGTCCCAACACGTTGGCATAGTATATTAATTATGCTAGAAAGCATATATGGATTAAATAAGAATTTAATTAATAATGTTTTGAAAAGAATTGGGAAGCATCTCAAATTATCAAATTATGAATCTGAGCTGGTAGAAGAACGATTAGTTTCAAAATTTAAAGAAACTGTCGAATTTCTTTCAGTACAAAAAGGGCCTACTTTAAACTTGGTGTTACTTTTTAGAAGTAAAATTGAAACATATTTAATAGTAAATGATAGTGATAGTTCTGAAATCATTTCACTAAGGAAAATATGCTAAAAAAACTTGCGTT